ATGTCTGAATTTGATACTGCCGTTTTGATGCTAGCTGGCTGTTTTGCCCATTAGTTGATGCAGATTCTTCATTTTGTTGATGCTCTTTAGCATTTGGTATGTTTTTGGAATTGTTAGTACTGGTTGTTCCTTTCTATGTGTAGTGCCTCTTTCAGGAGCTCTTGTAAAGCAGGCCTGGTGGTGAGAAAAATCTCTGAGTACTTGCTTGTTCGCAACGGATTTTATTTTTCCTTCACTTCTGAAGCTCAGTTTGGCTGGATATGAAATTCTGGGTTGAAAGTTCTTTTCTTTAAGGATGTTGAATATTGGCCCCCACTCTCTTCTGGCTTGTAGGGTTTCTGCCGAGAGATCTGCTGTGAGTCTGATGGGCTTCCCTTTGTGGGTGACCCGACCTTTCTCTCTGGCTGCCCTTAGCATTTTCTCCTTCATTTCAATTCTGGTGCATCTGACGATTATGTGCCTTGGGGTTGCTCTTCTTGCGGAATATCTTTGTGGTGTTCTCTGTATTTCCTGGACTTGTATATTGGTCTGCCTTGCTAGGTTGGGGAAGTTTTCCTGGATAATATCCTGAAGAGTATTTTCCAGCTTGTATTCATTCTCTTCATCACATTCTGGTACAGCTACCAAACGTAGGTTAGGTCTCTTCACATAGTTCCACACTTCTTAGAGACTTTGTTCATTCCTTTTTGTGCTTTTTTCTCTAATCTTGGTTTCTCATTTTATTTCATTGAGTTGATCTTCGACTTCTGATATTCTTTCTTCTGCTTGGTCAATTCGGCTGTTACAACTTGTGCATGATTTGCAAAATTCTCGTGTTGTGTTTATCAGCTCCTTCAATTCATTCATATTCCTGTCTAAGTTGTCCATTCTTGTTATCATTTCCTTGAATCTTTTTTCAAATCTTTTTTCAATTTTCTTAGTTTCTTTGCATTGATTTAGAACATGTTTTTTTGGTGCACGGAAGTTTCTCATTATCCACCTTCTAAAGTCTGATTCCGTCATTTCGTCACACTTATTCTCCATCCAGCTTTGTTCCCTTGCTGGTGAGAAGTTTTGGTTCTTTGTAGGAGGTGAGGTGTTTCGGTTTCGGGTATTTTCCTCCTTTTTGCACTGGTTTCTTCCCATCCTTGTGGATTTATCCACCTATCGTCTGAGTAGTTGCTGACTTTACAATTGGGTCTCTAAGTGGACTCCCAGATTGTTGATGATGACGTATTTCTGTTACTTAGTTTTCCTTCTAACAGTCTAGCCCCTCTGCTGTACAACTGCTGAGGTCCACTCCAGGCCCGGCTTGTCTGGGGTACACCTGTAGCAGCTGTGAAACAGTGAGGGATGCTACCAGTTTCTTCTTCTGCTATCTTTGTCCCAGAATGATGCCCGCCAAATGTCAGTCTGATCGGTCCTTTTTGAAGTGACTCTTTGGATATACAGGGGTCAGGGAGCTGCTTGAGGAGATGGTGTGTACTTTATAGGAGCTCAAGTGCTGAGCTGTGAGCTCTGTTGTTCATTCAGCGCTGTTAGGCTGGTACATTTAAGTCTGCTGCAGCAGAACTTATAAGGCCCCTTTTTTTCCTCAGATGCTCTGTCTTGGGGAGTTAGGGCTTTCTTTATGAGTATCCATTGCACTCTCCTGCCCAGCTAGGAGGCATTCTAATCACTACTTGCCTGCCGATGCTCTTCCCTGCTAACGTGAAGTCTGGTCTGTTGCTGTGGCCTCTGTCCTGCTGCCGTGGGCTCCGCCCTGCTGCTGTGGGGTCCACCCTGTTTCCGTGGCCTCTGTCCTGCTGCTGTTGGCTCCACCCTGTTGCTGTGGACTCTGCCGTGCTGTCATGGGCTCCGCCCTGCTGTTGTGGGCTCCCTCCTGCTGTCATGGGCTACGTCCTGTTGGCAGAGTCTCTCTGTTATGGCAGGTTGCCTTGGCAACAGCAGGCTGCGTCAGCAATAGGAGTGTACCTCAGTAGGGGTGGAATGCCTCAGTAATGGTTGATGCCCCACCCCCACTGAGCTGCATTGTCCTGGGTTCTGCTGTTCCCGCAGTGAACCTCTCAACCCTGAGCGTTTCAAATCGCTGTTTTGTTTGTCCCTGTGGGGGTGGGACCCACCGAGCCTTATCACCTGGCTCCCTGCCTCAGAGCCCCCTTTTTTTTTTTTTTAAGTTGAACAGTTGACTTTCTCCCAGGTGTTTCAGTCGCCTGCTGATCGGGCACTGGGATCTGTGTGATTTCCCGTGCAGTGACCCACTGCACCAGCTCAAACGCCGTTTCCCCAGAATCTCCTGGTCTGGCTCACTGTCCAAGTCCCGTTTAATCAGATGGATATGCTAATCTGCCCTCCCAAATCTCAGATTGCCAGTTTAACAGGGCACCCAGACCAGTGCACTTTGTGCGGAGTGCCGCTGCGCTGCAGTGCCGGCCAAAACAGCCGCACCAGCTGAAGCAGCTGCACTGGCGTCCCGTGTCTCTCTACACCTGGGAATTTTCCCATTCTGTGGGCAACAAAGATCCCTCTGGAAATGCGGCTTGGACTCACCCTCTGCGCCTTCACTGAGAGCTGCAATCCTGAATTGCTGCTACTGCGCCATATTCTTTTCTCGAGTCTCAATATGTTAATTGGGATTAAATTTACTTGCATTTCTAAGAGCATCAGAAACACTCTAGCCTCTTATATGTCTAATTAACTTATATCATTAGGTTATTTTATATCATTCAAGAATATCTAAAGCTTTCTCTTTTTACTAATATTATATGAATGAATGAATGAACCTACTAATTTATTGACTCTGGAACCGAGATTCCTCATCTGAAAATTATTTCATTGGTCATATATGTACCATTACATTGTTGGTCATATAATATCCACCATGTGGGTGCTAGAGAAACCATGAAGTATAAGAAATACTTCCTGCCTTTGACAAGTTTAGTGGAGATATTTACAGTCTGAAAGAAAAGGGTGAACTAAGTGATATGAAAGGCCCCTTCCAGCTCTAAAATTCAGAAATTCTATTTAGTGGGAGGTTTGCTCACATTGTACCCAAGTGGTAGATTTATTATTACAAGAAGATGGCTCGGGGTCCAAAGTGGCTCCTGCCAGAGGTCATGGCGCTCGTGAAGGCGAGGTCATCAGTTCAAGGCTAACCTCATAAGCTCAAACTGATTGGCAAAAAAAAAGAAGATGGCTCATACTTCCTCCCCTCCTAAGGGCACAGATCAGTGCAAAAAGAGTAAATTTTGATACGTTGTAAATTACTACTGCCCTTGCTAGGCACTCAAAGAGGAGACAAGTACTGCTTGTCATATAACCATTGAAGAGTGAATAATATAGGCTGCTTCAAAGCAAAATAATGAAGAAGAGGAAGCCTTACCTTACTGCACTCCCCAGCCTTCCTCACAGCACTCCTAATTCCAATATGTGCTAACCAGTGCCCTCCAGATCACGTCAGCCAAACATGAAGTGTCCCCTACTCTAGAATTGCCTGTAGAGCTTCCTTCTTCACTTTTACCCATGAGGTGGATGCTTGACTCTTTCACCTCTGTATACTTCACATCCTGTGGTTCTCAATCCTAGCTTCTATTAACATCACCTAGGGAGTTTTGTAAACATACTGAAGCCCAGCTCTTCACCCCCAGGGATTCTGATTTAATTGGTTTGACATGAGGCCCAGATGTTGGTCTGCTTTTCATTGTTTTTCTTTTTAATTTCTAGCAGATTATTCTAACATTTAGCCAGAATTGAGAACTACTACACCTTTGAAACCAGAGTTGCTTAATTTTTACCTGCTGGTTAAGCCCTTACTCTGGATTCTGGGGTCAATTCTGATCCCAGCCAGGGAGTATTCAAAGATTCTTAGGCCAGCAGCTCAGCAGCTCAACCCTCAGAGCTTAATCCCACTGTGGTCTGGACTCCCAATTGCAATAATTACAGGCTGTCGTTGTTCATTGTGACTAAGCCTCTGCCCCAAAAGGACATGAGTGGTAAAAGGAGAAATAGTTGCTGGGCAGACAAAACAGCAGGTGTTTAATGCCCTCCCACTTTTTCTGCCCCCCATCCTTACTCTCACTATTTTGGCAAAGTTGTACTGAGTAAATAGTGTCACTTAGTGAAAAGCATGGCTAGGAAATCATCTGACCAAACATCTTTACAGCCATGCTTTAGTCAAGCTGCCGGATATTTCTCTTTGTCAATACACACCTCTTTAGTGATACCTTAATAATCTCTTTCCCATAGATGACTCATCTTTAATCCCCTTCCCTTTCTTCTCCCTCTTTTAACTTGTACCTAGTTAATTCCAGAATCTTCTCCTCTCCTTTGATTCGTGTTTACAAACCTCTCCCCCAACACCAACTGCATTCATGCCTAAGCATAAGACTAGTATAAATGGTATTTTTTTCAACCTGATATACACTGTAATATCCGTGGTATATTTAAACCAAAGAAAAAAAAACTAAATTTTTTTAAAGTGGAATTTTGATATGAAAATAAAGAACATCTAGTGTCCATAAAACTACTACTATTTGATACTTATTTGGCAATCTTCTTTTTTTTAATTTTTTTTTCTGCTTTTTTTTTTACAACACTTCATTGTGTGGGTTATTCTCAGAACATTAGCACTATCTATAATATTGTTTAAATTGGAAATTCTATTCTAAGTACCAAAGTTTTGGAACCCAGCTCATCTGTAAATTGAGGACTGCATGAATATACCTCACACCATGCCAGGCACCACATTAACTAAGAAATCCACTTTGCTAGTGTCAGAGGGAATCATCTTTAAGGTTTGCCAAAGGAGAGGAATACATATGAAGGCAGACTTTAACAGCATATGTTTCTGTGGATAAGATTGATGGCTGGCAGGCACAGTGGCTCACACCTGTAATTCAAGCACTTTTAAGAGGCCAAGGCCGGTGGATCATTGGAGATGAGGAGTTCAAGACCAGTCTGCCCAACATGGTGAAACCCCATCTCTACTAAAAATACAAAAATTAGCTGGGCTAATTACACACCTGTAATTCCAGCTACTTGGAAGGCTGAAGCAGGAGAATCACTTGAGCCTGGGAGGTAGAGGTTACAGTAAGCCAAGATCGCACTATTGCACTCCAGTCTGGGCAAGAGAATGAGACCCTGTCTCAAAAAAAAACAAAGAAACTGATGACTTCTCAGCCATCGATGAGGTAAAGGGAGTTACTCTCTTCTTTCCCCTAGCAGAATCTTCTATATATGATGTTCTTAGTGCCAAGGGGAGTTTTATGACACAGCATTCGTGAACCCACCTAATTACTATGAGAAGCTGTCAAAGCAATTCCTATTATCATGCCTAGAACTATAAAATTTTAAATGTGTCTAATTAAAGAAAAGTACTCCAACGTATGTTCATTGTTCCTGATATTAAATATAAACCTAACGTTGATTCTATTCTCTATTTTGATGAGGCAGTGTGATCCTCTGTGAACATTAGCAGAAGACAAATAAATAAATAAATAAAAATAAATATCATATTTTTGAAAGCATATATTTTTCTATTATGCAGTGAAGTACATGTTCTGTACTGCCCTTGAAAATAACACAATCATGATTTGTGATCTGTATGCATTTTTAGTACATATTCAAACTAGCTATTGTGAATCAGGTATCCTAAAATCATTTAATTAATTGACTGCATTATCTAAACCCCTACTCAAATTTCTTCCCTAGACATCTTACTCCTACAGACTAAATTATTCATCTCACCAAACTTTCTAGACTGACAAAACCACTTGCTTTCTAGCTAAAATGACATTTTGAAAGCAAGTATCTGCTCAACAAATACGTTTTATTTTATTAAAACATAAGGGTAAAGAGCCATCATGTCTAAAAATAGATACTTGGAGCTTAAAATCTGTCAGACCATATGTTGTACGACTCTAAGATCCAGAAGTCAAAGACATCCTTCTTCTAAAGGTATGTATTATTATAATCATTCTAGAAGATTAAGTGCCAGTTCATTTGTATAATTATCCAGTCATGTAAACATCCTTAGAAGAGAAACAGATAAGAATTCCTGGGGATGGTGAAGGGAAAACATTAGTGAATTGGCAGTGAACTGATCTGCATGCATTTGTGCCTGTGTTGTGAGAATGCATATGAGCATGCAATTTTTTTTCTAGTATCCTTAATATTTATTTTCAGGAAAAAACTTTGACTTTTCTTGTTTCTCATTGAGTGTCAATGAGATGGCCACAAAACATAGGATTTGAGATAGTCTTTGCCTATAAGCAAGATAGCATTTTACAAAGCATTATAATGTCTTTGTAATTCTTTTTTCCACATTGAAATTTTAACTTTTTTTTCTGTTTGACTTCATTTTTTTGTTTGTTTTTTTTTGTGGGGGGAACAAGATCTTGTTCTGTCATTCAGGCTGGAGTGCAGTAGCGTGATCATATCTGACTTCAACTTCAAACTCCTGGGCTCAAGGGATCCTCCCATCTCAGTGTCCTGAGTAACTGGGACTACAGATATACTCCATCATGCCTGGCCAATTTTTAAAATTTTGTGTAGAGACAGGGTCTCACTTTGCCCAGGCTGGTCTCAAACTCCTGGGATCAAGCGATCCTCCTGTCTCAGCCTACCAAAGTACCAGGATTATAGATGTGAGCCACCGCCCCTGGCCCACTTGTAAAGTTTAAAAACTTATTTTAAAGCTTTGACATAAATTCTTAAACCTATTGCCATTAATCTCTAAATATGTCTTACATATATAGTCCACATTTTATGATGTTTTACATATTTTATATGGTGCAAAGTTCATCTTCAGAAATTTAATTACAATATCCTATTAGATAATTATTCTGAGACTGTGTACATGGTACATTGAAGCAATGTGGCAGTTAAATCAGTTTAGACCACAAACAATTGCAACCTCCAAACAAAATTCTTTTCTACATTAGTAACTATCAAATTTCCACTTCTCTTTAGATCAGAGAGACCCAACTACATTGGCATATTTACAAAGCCAAACACTTTTTAATGTTAAGAAAAATCCAAGTCTTCTCTAATTACTTGGCAATGATTGTAAGCTAGCTGTAAAGGTAGAAATGTCTATTTTTTTTTTGTCAACTAATAAAAAAAACTTAAGTCCTTTTCAAGTGATGGAGAAGGTAGAAGGAAATGAATTTTATTTCAGTGTGTTATTTCTAGGTCATGAGGCCATATTTCTTTTAGTTTTTAAAAGTATATGTGTGTATATATATTTACATACACATGATACCAAAATTAAAAAGCATATACAATAAAAACTAAGTCTCTCTACCTTTCCTCTACTTTTTCCTATTTTCCCTCTTTGGAAGCAAACACTATACCTAGTTTCTTGAAGATTCTTCCAGTGAAAACTATCCATTTGCTAACAAACCTGGATAAAATTTCCCTGTTGTTTTCTTTATCTTTCTCTCTCTCTCTCCCTCACCTCTGATTTTGTCCTTTCACACAGAAGATAGTATACCATATACTTTGCTCTGTTCCTTGATTGTTCACTCTTGGCCATTGTTCCAAATCAGCATATATAAAAGTCATTATTGAAGCTAGTGGGTGCATAGTGATTCATTGTACGAATATATCATAATTCATCTAAACAGTCTCAGTGATTAGCATTTAAATGTTTTTCATCTTTTACTATTTCAAAACTACAACAAATATTTTATTTGCATATACTTTGGGTTGCACATATGCAAGATTATCTATACAATATAAACCTAAGAATTGACATTATTGGGTCAAAGAGTATGAGCATTTTAAATTTTGACAAATAGAACCAAATTGCCCTCCAAAAAAGTTGTATCAATTTTCATTTCCAACAGTAATGTGTGAAAAAAATCATATTTTTGACTCATTTCATATTTGTGTTCAAAAGAAATAAAAGAGCAAAATATTCTTTTTACATATTATAAATGTTAGCAAAATCCAGCATTTGAAAGAGAGAAAATATAAGAGATTACAACTTGACTGCAATGTACGTAGCAACCATTTCAGTTTGTTGACAGCAAGAAAATAATTGTCATGTTATAATAGGAGAAAAGGTTTTGAATTATACTTTTCAAAACCATGAAAACTGTTAAATCTATTTCTATTAATAATGTTATTAAAACTAATAAATAGTTATCACAAATAATGATAATAGAGAAAACATTGTATGGGATACACAAAACTTTGACACACAAAACAAGTAAGTATATAATTAGACTTTGACTTTTAAAAAAGTCTGTGCTAAAATAATAGACATCATAATATTACAAGACTCTAAATTAGGCCTCAAGTTGATAAACAGACAGTCTGGAAAGAAACTTTTAAAATTATTTTAGGAAAAAAATCACTTAAAGATTGAAAAACTTCAATAGAGTATAAAACTTTTGACCAGGAGGCCAAATTCTGTGTTACTTCATAAAATGAAAAAAGTTTACAAACTTACAGAAATGGTAAAGAAAAATCAAAGTACACAGTTTTGGAGGTAAGAGACTTAAGGAATATTAATGTCACAAAAAAAGGAGTTCCTCCCTTGATAAAGTTTCTAAGAGCACCAGGTGACTATTTCTCTAAGGATAATTGAAGTATGCCTTAGCAGAAGCTCATATTGTCACTTCTGGATATTTGGGATGTTAACAGATAAAAATATATTTTTATGAAGAATTTTTATGAAGTAAGATAATAGTGACCTGTTTTATAAAATTTCTGAATAATATGAATTATAATTACAAAATTAAAAACAGAAATCATCCCCTTTATTAAGAAAAGAATTATCAACCATCTGTTTGTCATTCACAATTCATTTTGTCAGTCAAAATTCAGGCCGAACCAAAAGTCAGTATCACTGTGTGGATTTTTCTTATTACCTTACAGAGATTAGACTAGATAGTTCAGTGGAAAACCTCATTACTGAAACCCTGTAGTTAAAAGTGGCTGAATGAAACATTTTTATTTATTCATAATATTTATACATATCTATGGAATATGTATGATATTTTGCTACATGAACAGAATGTTTAATGACCAAGTCAGGATACTATTTTTATGTGTTGGGAACATTGCAAGTCTCTTGTTCTAGCTATTGAAATGTGCACCGTATTGTTAACTATAGTTACCCAGAGTCCTGCTATCAAACATTGACGCTTATTCCTTCTATCTAACTCAATGTTTGTACTGATAAAAAAAAAAGTCAGCCAAATTAAATTTAAAGGAGTTTAATTGAGCAATGAACGATTCACAGTAGAGCAGCCTGCCATGCCAGAGTCAGAGACCCCAGCATAGTCATGTGGTGGAAGATTTATGGACAGAAAAAGGAAAGTAACACACAGAAAACTGAAGTGAGGTAAAGAAACAGCTGGATTGGTTACAGGTTGGCATTTGCCTTATTTGAACATGATTCTAACAGTTGGCTACATTTGTTTGGCCAAAACTCAGTAATTGGCACAAGTGTAAGCTATGGTCTGTTTACACCTCTGCTAGTTATAGTTCACGATGTAGAGAAAAACCTTTAGGCTGAACTTAAAATATGTAAGGAGTCAGCTTTAGGCTAATCTTGATCTAACAGTACCCATTAACCACCCTCTCTCATTCCCTCCCTCTGCCAGAACAAATAGTTTTAAAGAGAGTCCCACACAGCTAGTTATTACATTTATTACAAATTGTGTCTACAAGACAACAAAGGAAACAATTTGGTCCAATAACTACTGGTCAGGTCAGTTAAACATAGTTAGTTAACCTAAGTTTGGGCATAGCATAAGCCTCCTGTGCCTGAAGATTAAACTCAGAAGTGGTGCATGAAGTACTCAGTGTGGTGACCAGGGCATTTTGAGCACTTGATAAAATCCTTACTATAAAAACAAAAACATAAAACCAGTCAAAGAAGTCTTTTGACATCATGTAAAAGACAAACTGTCATTTGACTGAATTTTTAATATTTCATCCAAATATTTTTCATGCTATAATCTCAAGATGACAGAGAAAAAGGTAGTAAAAACACTACTTTATAGTAGTTCTTTAAAATTAACCTAATTACGTAACTCTGTGGCATGTTTCACCACAACAGATGAGTCAAAAAACATGACTCCTACAACGTAGGATGCATCTCACATGAAAATTAAGTAGCACTGTTC